TGAAGAAGAAGAAGGAACAATATGAAGATTTGATCAGGTAATATGGTTTTTGACAGGTATTGCCCTACAGACTTTCTTGATTTGGTGAAACGTGCTAGTTAACAAATTATGGAAGGATAATGATATAAATGGTTTGTGAACTTTGACCCAATGTGCAATGTGATTCCTGAACTTTTAATTTATTTAATACGGTTGTTGAACTTTACTCCAATGTGAAATGCAGTCCCTAAATTTTACTCTACTATGCAATGTAGTCCCTAAACTTTTTATTTGTTCAACGTAGTTCCTAAACTTTTGATACGTGTTCAATTTACTCCCTAAACTATAGAAAAATATTCAATGCTGTCATTCTATTAATTCAAATTCAGAGACAACATTAAATATTTTTATATAGTTCAAGGACTAAATTGAATATGTACCAAAAATCTATGGACTATATTGAACAATGTAAAAGTTCAAGAACCACATTGCATATTAGGTTAAAGTTCAGGGATCACATCGCACATTGGGTTAAAGTTTATGGACCATTTGTATTAATTTCCCACTTATGAACGATCTTGATTTGGTGAAACGAACTAAGGAGTGAGTAATCAATCTAATCAACACAATAAGGTCTCGGTGGAGTTATCACCAAGCTTGCCCAAAGACTTGCGTAATCTGGTAATCGGAGATTGATAATTAACCACCTTCTCACGATTATTTGCTATAATCATTGGCAGAAAAATTTAATGTTTCAATTATTTTTTTTGGAAAGCTCACCTTCAACTATCTAACAATTTGGAGCTTTTAAATAATTAAAATCGAAGAAACATGGAAAATGCATTGTCGAACCACTGCATCAATTTGTTTATGGTAATATAGGAATGAGATCCCAGTAGAGCCAGCTACGTACTCATTAAATAGAGAGAACCTCTCGTTAGGGCTTCTCTCTCTTCTCCGGTAAGAGTTCTTCCCTACCCCATTGGTGATAACTAACCCAAATCCCTCCCCTCCCCAGAACCCTAAATCTTCCCAACCTGTTTTACCCTAACATCACACCCCCACTTCTTCCCATTACCCACAAAGAAATCTAGAAACCCAGAAACACACATTCCCTTCTAAAGGATCTGATGCCCACTAACCGATGGATGACCAGCGAGGAAGAGTCTTTGGAGGTCAAATTTGGGCCCTCTAGCGACTGTTCTCTCTCCATGTCTGTTGGGCAAATTCGCAACTCAGCCTTGCATAATGACTCACCGGTCCCCTCCGCAATAGCTCTGTAACTTGCCTACAACACAAACAAGGTCTCCTGTTCTTGGTGTTCGCTGAATCACAGGAAGGCATGATGATTTCGTGGTGGTATGATCCGAATCTTTGCTTCATCATTGCTTCTAATCGACTAAGACGCCTGCCACATGTTTGATCATATGCCCGAGTGAAATTAGTGTAAGAATATGGGAAAGGTTCTTACACTTTGATGACTGGTTGACTGTTGTGTGTTCGCTGTTGATGCTGCTTCTCTCCTGGTGGTAATTTGTCCATGGTGCGACGCTCCTATAAAACAACAATGGAGAAAATCAACGATGAAGAAACTCGAATGGCTGCCCTTTGTAAGAGCCTAGGTTCATTATGGTCAGATTCGGATATTGCTATTATGAAAGGGGTAGTTTCCCCAAAAAAATTAAAAGAATGTAATCTGACCATTTTTGGGAAAATCTTTAATAATCCGAGCATCAACTTTCAAGCCTTCCAAAATACAATACGAAGGGCATGGAGGTCCGATTCTGTCACTTTCCAAGAGCTGGATGCTGGTATGTTTGCTGTAATGTTCAAATCCAAAATAGAGAAGAAAAGAGTGCTTGATAATGGTCCGTGGTCCTTTGCGAATCATCTTTTAATTCTCAAACCCTGGGAACCGAATATGCTAACACATGAATATGAGTTTAACTTCTGCTCATTCTGGGTACAAATCCATGGGTTCCCATATGAATGGCTATCTGAAGAAGCAGTGAATGAAGCAGCAAAATTTAGCGGCCAAGTCTCAGAGGTTCGAGTATTCTCTAAAGGTTCTGGTTCCCAAAATACAGGGAAAACGAGAGTAACTCTGAACTTATCTAAGCCTCTAAAGTCTGGAATTCTTACTGATAATGGAGATAGGAAATTTGGTTAGATTTCAGGTATGAGAGGCTTCCCCACTTCTGTTATGCTTGTGGAAGGATAGGACACTATGCCAAATTTTGTCAAGAAGTAGCCTTTGATGAGGGAAAGATGGATGAATGTCGCTTTGGGAGCTGGCTAAGAGCTGAAGAGAAAGAATGGAGTCCACATTGGAAGATATTTAACGGGGAATTGGAGGAAGAGAGAATGACAGAAGATTTTATCCCTGAAACTCGAGTTTGCTCTACTCTACTGGTGCCTTCTAACAAGGGTACTAGCAAGTTGGAAACTCAGGATAATACCCAAAAACAGAGCAAGGGAAAAGGTGTATTTATAGGGGAAGGTAGTTCTCTAAACCAGCAAGACCATGTATCTGCATTGGCACCACTTCTACTTCCAGCTCCTGTGCAGGTACAAAAGTCCATAATCTCTGTTGTGGAACAGTCTGTAGTGGGTAGCCAGAAGAAGAATAGTAAGGGACCAAAGCTTCAGGCCAATAAAAAACAGCGGCGTTACAGCCCTTACGATTCCAAGATGGCAAATCAACATACCGTGGATGAGACAAATTTGATGGAAACTCCTATTCATGTTGTAGCAGAAGCAAGTGAATGGGCTTTGGAGGCTAGCCCTAATAAGCCTCCGGGTTACAAGTGAAACTTATAAGTTGGAACTGTCAAGGGTTGGGCACACCACTGACAGTTCGAGAACTTAGAGCCCTCGTGGCTCAAGAAAGGCCTAGTTTGGTGTTTCTGATGGAAACTAAAAATCAGTAACAAATGCTTCATCAAATAAAAAGACAGCTACAGTTTCAGAATTGCTTCATAGTAAATCCAGTGGGTATTGCAGGAGGTATGGCTATTTTTTGGAACGACCAAGTTTCTTTAAAAGTGGAGTCACACTCAGAATTTTTTATAGATGTAGAGTGTGTGATCGAGGAGAGTAAACAGAAGATGCGACTTACCTTCGTTCATGCACCATCGCAGTTTAATGAGAGAGTTCTCTTATGGGACAAATTACATGGCATTAGTCTCATGAAACACCTCCCCTGGGCTTGCATTGGAGACTTCAATGAGATTCTTTATCATTGGGAGAAGGTTGGGATACGCATGGCCGAGCATTATAGACTCAATGCTTTTCGAGACTTCCTACATGCTTGCTCGTTGATGGATATGGAGAGTAAAGGTTGTGCTTTCACATGGTCTAATCACAGGGAAGGAGAGGCTTTCATTAAGGAGAAACTTGATAGGGTGTTATGTACCATGGATTGGAGGGTTAGCTTCCCCAACGCTGAAGCATTTGCACTCCCAGCAGTTGGCTCAGATCATAGTCCTTTATTGCTGTCTTTATTTCCTAAACCAGTGAGAAGGAAAAGAGAATTCAGATTTGAGATGTTTTGGCTAGAAGATGCTGAATGTGAGCAGATTGTTAGAAATAGTTGGCATTCCTCTGAACTAGCAAATGAGGAACTATCCAGACGTCTACAAATAGTTTCAAAAGCTCTCCAAGAGTGGAGTAGGAGGAAATTCTCAAATGCAAAAAAGGGAATCAAGACCATGAAGAAAGAAATTCAGGAACTTACTAACAGCAAAACAGTCCTCATTGATGGAGAGAGAGTACGGTACCTAAAAAAGGAAATAGAGAAGATATGGATACAAGAGGAGATGTACTGGGGTTTGCGATCGAGAATCAGCTGGCTAAAGTGGGGGGATAAAAATACAAAATACTTCCATGCCACTACAATTCAGAGAAGGCAACGGAACAAGATCTCAATGTTGAGAAACTCAGAAGGGGTTTGGATCTGTGACTTAGGTCAACTAAAACAGCAGACAATGGATTTCTTCATAACTTTGTACAGCTCTAAGGGCCCTCGACATTTTGAACCTATAATGGAGTTTGTTCCTAACTTAGTGGGAGAGGAGATAAACCAAGTCTTAACTGCAGAATTGACAGTGAAAGAAGTTACAGAAGCTGCTCATCAACTAGGTGCCATTAGAGCACCAGGGCCTGATGGACTACATGGGAAATTCTACCATCATCACTGGGAAGATCTAAAACATGGGGTGTTCAAAGAAGTACAAAGCTTTCTAAACTATGGGATTCTCAACCCAGAGCTAAATAGAACGCACATATCACTTATCCCAAAGATCCTTAACCCAGAGAAGCTGGAACAATACCGCCCCATTAGCTTATGTAACTTTGCTTATAAAATCTTCTCAAAAGTCTTGGCGAATAGACTGAAACCATGGATGCCAAACTTCATCTCGAAAGAGCAGAGCGCATTTCTAAGTGGCAGACAGATTCAAGATAACATTTTAATTGTCCAGGAAGTGCTACATCAACTCAGAATTCGAAAGAGAAAGAAGAAGTTCCAGGCTGTCCTTAAACTTGATATGAAAAAGGCATTTGACAGAGTCGAATGGGATTCTATGGAAGCTTGCTTGCTAAGAATGGGATTTAGTGCTCAATGGGTTAGATGGGTTATGCAATGCATCACAACTGTGTCTTATAGTGTAAAGTTGAACGGAGAGCCATTGCCCTATTTTCATCCCTCAAGAGGTCTTCGCCAAGGTGACCCACTTTCTCCATATTTATTTATCATTGTGGTGAACGTATTATCCTTTATGATGAAAAATGCACTGGAGAATGGGATTATCAAAGGAATACAATTAAATAGATCATGCCCAACTTTGACCCACTTACTCTTTGCGGATGACTCAATCTTCTTCCTGGATGGAACAATTAATGAGTGCCAAAGTGTAGCTGCAATCTTGAATCAATACTGCTATGCCTCGGGTTAAGCTATTAATTTGAATAAATCTGGATTGTTTGCTAGTAAAGATTGCCCACAAAGATTGAGACAGAATATGGCTGCAGAGATGCGAGTGCCAATTATAGAGAAAACTGGCAAGTATTTGGGAATTCCTTCTGACTGGGGTGAGTCAAAGAAGCAAATGTTTGCGTGGATTATGGCGAGAGTCAATATGAAGCTAGAAGGCTGGAAAGAAAAGTTGATATCTAAAGCAGGGAAAGAAATCCTCATTAAAGCAGTGGTTCAAGCTCTCCCACAGTACGCTATGTCCATCTTTAAAGTTCCTATCTCCATTTGTCGTGCTATTGAACAGAAAATTGCTGCTTTTTGGTGGAGAAATGGGGCAAGCAAATCAGGATTGCATTGGAGAAACTGGAATGTACTAAAACTTAGAAAGGATAATGGAGGATTGGGCTTTAGAGACCTTATCACCTTTAATAAGGCTATGTTGGGAAAACAAGCCTGGAGAATGACTCAGAACCCAACATCTTTGTGGAGTCAGGTACTTAAAGGACTCTACTTCCCTCATTGTGATTTCAGACATGCTGGTAAGGGGATACGACCATCTTGGGGCTGGCAAAGCCTCCTAATGGGCAGAGATGCTATTCTTCCCTCTATTATGTGGTCAGTTTGGAAATGGGGAAAAGATTAGAATTAGAGAGGATAAATGGCTACCCAGAGGAATTATAGGGGGACCACCAAACAGAGAAGAGCCAGAGAAGGTAGCTGATTTGATACAAAAGCAAGATTCAACGTGGAATACACAAACCCTACATGCTCTATTTGATGAACAAACCTCCAATGAAATCCTCTCAATTCCGCTGCGATCTCAACTAACGGAGAATAAGTTGGTTTGGAACAACACTAGATCAGGGTCCTATACAGTTAAGAGTGGATACAACAAACTAAGGGGAGAAACCGAGAAACAGATCGCAACTTCAGCGTCCACCTCGTATCAGACCCCTCGAAAACTATGGACAAGGATCTGGCAAGCAAGAACCATTCCAAAAATCAAATTTTTCCTATGGGGACTATGCCAAAATGCTTTGCCTACCAAGGAAAATTTATTTAAAAGGAGTATTGTTCACCTGCAGTCTGTGTAACCAACAGGTTGAGACAACCGAGCACTTATTCCTACTCTGCCCATGGACAAATCAGGTGTGGTCAAACCCGGCCCTGCATATTCAAATCTCCAGTCAAGGACTTACGAGGATTGAAGAGTGGCTACTAAATTTCAAAAGTACCTCAATCTCCTTTGATTTGCTAGCGGTGGTTCTCTGGTATATATGGAAATGGAGGAACAACTTCATTTTTCGAAGTCAATCCCCAAATCCGCAACACCTGGTGAGTTTTGCCATGGCCATGCACCAGAATATTTGCCGATGGACTAAACCGGAGAAGAACACCAACTCAAAGGATAGCCACTCACTTAAATCGTGGCGACCACCGGAGAAAGGGACTCTCAAGTGGAATATTGACGGATCCTACACTCCAGGTTCAACGGAAGGATCCATAGCTGGTATTTGCCGTGATTTCTCGGGGAAGATTGTGGATGGATTCGCTAAAATGGTGAGAGCAAATTCAGCTCTCAATGTGGAAACCCTTGCTTGCCTTGAAACTCTGAAGCTACTTCATGCACGAAGGGAAAAAGACAAAATGAGATACCTGCTAGAATCTGACAACTTGATTTTGGTTAATTGCCTTTTAGGCTTAAATATTTCTCCATGGGAAGCCACTTCACTTATTACCGAATGCAAACTTCTGCTAGTCCATTTACCTAATGTTCTTTTAGCCCACTGTAATAGGGAAGAAAATCAAGTGGCAGACTGGATTGTTAAGACTCAAAGGTGCAAATCTTTGCCCCATAATTGGGTCTTTAACCCTCCCGCAACCTTTTGGAACCTTGTATGTGCTGAAGCTTATCTTGATGAAATGAAATGATCTTGTTTTCGACCAAAAAAAAAATAGAGAGAATAGTCGCACGAATGTCAGCGTCTGTGTAAGAAGCTCTCCATGTTCTGTGAATGAGATTGATTTTGGGAGATCCAAGAGACAAATGGGAAGACAACAGAGGAGACTAGAAAGGGGTCCATCAACCAAACGGTAATGTCTAACTTTTCACAGATTAATTTAGTGGATAAGCGCTTGATTTTGACGTGGCAAATCTCGTGTTTGAATCACAATTTCTCCTATTCACTGACCCTGAGTTAGAGAGCATGTGTGTTGCTGTTAACTATAGAGTATAGGGTATTTCTTCTTTTTTTTTTGGTAACAAAATTTATCTTGAGAATCTACTATCCCGATCTTATCACCTAATAAAACACAAAGTAGCTCTTTAGGAGGCAGTGAAAATGCACCATTGGTGTGGATTACTCATTTATATACAAAGCATATGAGCTGGATTGCGGACCCTAAACTTTTGGGTCTTAGCTTGGACTTTGTTTGGGAAAATTTGTTGCACTTTTCCTTCCACATTTCCTTTCCCCGGCTCTCCCAAAGGGAGTGGGCTTGCTCATGATGGGCCTATTTGAAATTCAATACCAATTTCGGGATTTTTATTACATATTTGACCCACTTAATTATAACCATATAACTAATAAAAAGCTGACCCCAACAAGAAGCATCCTCACAACTTTGGGACTTCTATAATCAATCTAACTGTTTTCAAGATCATATGGCGTTAGTTCAAAGGGATAATGACACAAACAGTCCCTGAATTTTGACCAAATGTGCAATTTGATCCTTGAACTTTTAATTTGTTCAATGTAGTACCTGAACCTTAGGCTAATGTTTAATGTGGTCCATGAACTTTTAATTTGTTCAATGTCATCCCTAAACTTTTGGTACATGTTCAATTCAGTCCCTGAACTATATGAAAATGTTCAATACAGTCCCTAAACTTGAATTAATGGAAATGACTGCATTGACCATTTTCATATAGTTCAGGGACTGAATTGAAGATGTATCAAAAGTTTAAGGATAACATTGAACAAATTAAAAATTCAGGGACTACATTGCACATTGGATTAAAGTTTAAAGACTACATTGAACAAATTAAAAGTTCAAGGACCAAACTGCACATTGAGCTAAAGTTCAGGGACTGTTTATATCATTTTCCCTAGTTAAAACTTACTCCAATAAAGTCAGGCTCAAGTTACTCATGGGCCGGTTTTCTACTTCATGGATCTCACTTGCCTTCTAATTTTGGAGGCAGGAGAGACATTCAAGTTTACAGTAAGTGCGCATATTTTAAAATTATGGTATGTGATCATTGGTTGGGTTTGAATCGGGTCGAGCCCTAGGATCAAACTTTGCCCGGACCCGGCAAAAAGACATAATATTTTTTCGAGCTAGGTGGGCCTAGCTTGAGCCCAGTTGACTTTGACTTTGTATCTAAATGCCATTATTCAAAAACAAACTCACCAATTTTTTTCTCGGGCTTATAGGGCATGGACGAGCACGAGATCGCCAAGCTCATGATCAAGTTTCGTAGAAATTAAAGTTTACATATCAGTTTTATGGAAGAACTTCTACCACAGAGAGTATGCATCCATAGTCTAGGGTGTTCTCACTTCAAAATTAAAAGTCAGTCCTCTTATGAATCACTTTCATATTTTATTTAGAATCTAATTGTTTCATTGATGTTTGTTGTGTGTATAACATGGAAAGCTATTGCCACCATTAGATTACATGGTTTTATAGTAAGTTTGGAAATTTCAAAATGTCTAGAAACAAAGAGATGTTAAATTAAGGATATGTAGCATCAATTAACAAGTGGTATCTAGCGAGCAGCAATCAATGTTAATCGACATATTGAGTACTGAGTAGAGATGTGTCCTCCTTTATTTCTCTCTTTATTTTTCCTTTTTTCTCATTTTCCTCCTTTTCTCTTTCTTTTTCTTCTTCCAACTTGAACCTAGGTGACATCACGATAGCTTGCGCTGTCGTTGTCACCGCCACACAACCCCTCACAAACGCTGCTCCACCGTCATTGCCCTCGCTAACAAAACCCAACACCTTCTAGACCACAAATCCGAAGCCATAACAGTTGCAAACTACAACGATGATCTCTCTCTAGACCATAGATCGCATTTGTTAAATTGGATACTGATCGATGATTATGCTCCCATGGAGGTTGCCAGTCTCACACAACAATGATTCCATGTTCCGGCGAGGCCGGTGACCTCCATCTACATTGAGGTCATTACCTCCATGCTTGCCTAGATCGAGCTTTTGAGAGAGAGAGAGAGAGAGAGAATTTAGGGTGCTCTTGGCCCTTAACTCGTTGCTTATATGTCAATTATTTTAAGAGGAGGGGAGAATTTCCTCTTTTAAATTTAGAGGATCTCAATTCATTTTTAAAAAAAATAGAAACTACAAGTGTTCTATGGGCGCGTACAGTTCATTTTGAAATGTGATCCACACCAAGAGTTTCATTTACCATGTTGGATTTGAAATGACAAACTCGAGGTTGGATTTGAAGCACTTCTTTTAATCGAGTATGGTAAGTTATAATTTGGGCGTAGACTGTGACCTTTGCAATTATAAGTATCCGGATGTTGACCTGAAATAAATCTGTCTTGTACAAGATAACATAGACGTGGTAGAGAAAAGCTAGATTGTTTTTTTTTTTGTTGTAGAGAAAAGCTAGATTGCATACACAGAAAAGAAGAAAAAAGTGATAAGTACACTAGAAGTCCTAAAACTTATTATGAAAGTGCAATTGAGTCATAAAATTATCAAAAAGTGCAATCAAGTTTTAGAACTTGTCACGAAAATGCAATTGAGTCCTAAAATTTTCAAAATGTGCAATCAATGGGAGGACTTGCTTAGACTAATATGACAAGTTCTAGGACTTAATTGCAATTCGTGATAAGTTTTAGGACTTAATTGCACTTTATGACAAGTTTTAGGATTTAATTACAGTTTTTGAAAGCTTTAGCATTTAATTATATTTTCGAGATAAGTTTTAGAATTTTCAATGCAGTTATCTCAAAAAGAAACGGATAGGTCCAAATAGCATACTTTTGAGCGCGGAAATAGATAACAATTACAGATGTTGAAGCTCTATCATTCTTCTCGTCTTTTATTCTATTAAATATTTTTTGTCTTATCATGAAAATATTAAAATATTTAAGCACGAAATTCTCTCTTGTCCTCATTTTTCGCTTTTTCCAATAAGCTCTATGGTGACATTTTTAACCGCACATGAAACTCATGGATATTGCCATCATGTCGATTTCGATGCACTTAGTGGGTATTTGGATGATTGTGACTTTTGGTTTGGGGCTTTTACCATTTTGTGTCCACAATTTGATTTGTTTATCGTTAGGAAATACTTAAAAAAGTTTAAAATACATAAATATGAACAATTAATAATTTTAGTTTTTTTACCATGCTTCTCTCATGAGTAAATTAATTTCAATTTCAACAATTTCTCTAATCTTTGTTGTTCATATAACTGTGAGATTTTATGAGACGACTGCAGCTGAACTTTGACCTAATACTAAGCATGGTAAAATGTAATAAAAGAGATAAATATGAGGTATGGAAAGATTTGAATTCAAAATCTCTAGCTCTGATTCCACCTGAGATTTTGCAAACCACTGTTGACTATTTTAAAAACTTAAATTATTAGATAAATAAAAGTTTTAATATTTAAATATTCTGACAATCACATGGAAAACCATTGCCATCATTGGAAAGACTCGTTTGACTAATAATGGACTAGTTATTTACAGTTATTTATGCCATTCCCAACCCGAGGGGAGCTTAGGAAATATATCCGGATTAAGGAATGGGGCAGGGAGAGTAGCTAAATTCCCTGGCTTTCACGCTGGGAACATGAATGACGTTGTCTCAAGATGAGAAGGGGGAGCCCCAATGAAACACTAAAGGTGCAAAAAATTGGTTGAGTTTGTCTTGGCATCCAATCTCATTGATCTGGTTCGCTCAGGCCTAGCATTTACAATATTTGGCTGGGTCGAGCCAATGGGTTGGACGTAGCCTTCTGTAACCAAGCCTAGAGTCTTCATTTTCAAGAAGCTTATGTCAAGCACCTCCCTAGAAGAAGTCCACTGGAGTTTGGAGAAAACAGCCGAAAAACACCGGGAATGCTAAAGCTGTTTAGTGTGCTGAAGAGAGAGTTGATTGACATGATATGGCTGACTGTAGTGCAGGCTATGCAGCAAGAGTCTATCGCCGTGGCAGGAGGCTATCATGGTTGCTATGCAGGCTATGCGCCAATGCGGCACGAGGCTATCATCGCGCAGGAGGCTATCGTTGCTACTGTGCATGCTACATTACAAAAGAACATGCTAACGTGGTTGCGGAGTGACATACAATGTTGAGGACTTGCTATGTATATAAATAACTGTCAACTATTTTAAAAGTTCAAATTGTTAGCTAAACTGGACTTTAGCTTAATACTAAGCGCGTAAATATGCAATAAGGGAGACAAATAAGAAGGTTGGAAAAAATTTAATCTTAGAACCTTTTGCTCAGATATCATATGAGATTTTGTGAACTCTGCATACTATTTTAAAAGTTTAAGTTGGTAAATAAATGGTGTTTTAACACTTAAAGTATTCTGATAATAATATGGGAAGCTATTGCCATAATTGGAAAGACCCGTTTTATTATAAAAGTTCACATGAAACCCATTATTCTCAGAGGCGTTGAGTTAAAAAGAAAAAAACAAATGGACGGCATACCCTCTTGTATAGCTTAAATTTCACCGTCGAAACTCATTTTTACGCGGCATAAACAAAGTATCTAGGAGGACGCATAGGATGAGTTGGATTTGTCATCTTCTATCATTTCACCTATAACTGTGGTGCTCCACGATAGACGAACTATAACTAAGAACACACCATCGTCTTAATTCTTAACACTATATCTCCTTGCAATACCGAGTCTCTTCTTCACCATGGCCAAGTTCTTCAAGAGTACCACTTTCATCATCCTGATTTGTCTTTATTCTCTCCTCCTCACAGGTTAGTCCATCTTCAATTGCATTTGCGTCAGTAAATAATTTAGGAAAGACCACGGAGTGCATGAAAATGCCAGAACATATAAAAAATAAGCGAATGGGAGCAAGCAAAAGTCAATCACATTTCCATTTAAGGCTATTCTTGTTGTTATTTGTGTAACTAGAAAGCAGGATGTATGCTGTATCATAACTCACAAAAGTTGTTGTTGTGCTCTTTGTTTGGCTTGAGCATATATTTAGGCCATGTGGAAATGGTGAAAGGAAACGTATGTGACAGACCAAGCAAAACAGTGAGTGCGACTTGTAGTACCAATGATTGTGACCGGCAGTGCAGGGAATCGGAAGGTGCATTGCGCGGGGCTTGTCAAGGCGGTGACATCATATGGACTTGTATGTGCTACTTCAATTGCTAGAGGAAAAGAAGATGATTCCCAAAAGTTCTATTACTATGAACCTTGTGTCCTCAATTGAAAGTTTCGTTTACATGGACGACATTAAAATAATCAATCGTGTCTTGTTGGCGTCTTCCTTGTCATTGTCGTCGTCTTATGAAAGAGTTACCCTCTCTTTGGTTGTCTAGACACGAATCAAGTGTGTGGTTGTACTTTTAAGTATGTCAATGTGGTTGGTTACTTGATGGCCAAAGAAACATGCTGTCACTTTCTTTACATGAATGCTTCTGTTTGGAAAAGCAATGTCCATTTATCAAAGTTACGGTGAAAATCAATCAATCTTTATTAGGTTCAATACCAACAAAAATTCTAAATTGGTACATTTGTGATAAATTTACCCTAAATTAATTTTTTGACCACCAAAAACCTTAAACTGGTATGCCTGTGACAAATTTATCATAAACTAATATTTTGATCACCAAAAATCCCAAATTGGTACACTTGTGACAAATTTTTGCTCTGTTAAATTGGATCAATACCGTGAAAAATCACAAAATGATAAATTTGTGACAAACAAATGGATAAAATCCTAAACTGCTATACCCGTCAACTGCCACGTGTCATCCAACTTGGTAATCTGATAGTAAAATTTAACGGAAATTAACGAAGGGTAAATTTGTTACAACTATACCGGTTTAGGATTTTTTGTGGGCAAAAAATAGTTTGGGCATAAATTTATCATAAGTTTACCAGTTTGAGGTTTTTTTTGTATTAACCCTCTTTATTATGTATACTGTCGACGAAGCTCTTTCTTCTCTATGGAAGGAACACTTCGAGGTGATTTTTCCACTAGCTCTATTTAAAATAGTTTCATGGGAAGAACCTTTTCAATGCAGGTGATTACATCAGTAATCTAACATTAAAAGGCAAACTACTGTTTCATTACTTCAAGGTTGATGGCAGTTTGAATTCATCGAAAAAACACTACAAAAAAACAAGGATTTTGCCACGAAAAATTTGGCAAAATTCGTGGCAAAACGAATTTCCAACGAAATTAGCGATGAAAAAAAATTCGTCGCTAATTCGGCATCGCAAATTTTTGCGACAAAAAATTTCAATTTTTGTTGGTAATTTGCGACGAAAAAAAATTCGTGGCAAAATTCGTGACTAATTTCGTGGCTAAATTCGTTGCAAAATTCGTCGCTAATTATTCATTGCAAAAATCGTGGCAAAATTCGTCGGTAATTATTCATGGTAAAATTCCTGGGAAAACGAATTTCCGACGAAATTAGTGACGAAAAAAAATTCGTCGCTAATTTGGCGTCGGAAATTTTTGCGACAAAAAATTGTAATTTTTGTTGGTAATTTGCGACGAAAACAAATTCGTGGCAAAATTCGTTCGTTAACGAATTTAACCACAGAAAAATAAAAATATATTTTTTTTGAAAAAAAAGTATATAAAAAAAATTCATCACAAATTAGCCACATAAAAATAAAAAATATTTTTTTTTGAAAAAAAAATTATATAAAAAAATTTTCGTGGCAAAATTCGTCACAAATTTGCCACAAAAAATAAAAAAATATTTTTTTTTGAAAAAAAAATTATATAAAAAAATTCGTCACTAATTTGCCACAAAAAAATAAAAAGAATAAGGTTTTTTTGGTCACGTTTTTTGCGACGAACTTATTCGTAGCAAAATTTGTCGCTAATTTGCCATGCAAAAATTTCACTTTTGCAACGAATATTGTTCCGGAATGAATTTAGCGACGAATATTGTTTAGGGACGATTTCGATTTTTATTTCTAGAATTTATATTTAACATTGATTAAGCAGTTAATAACATCAAAATATTATAATGATATATAAATGAAATACATTCATCAACATTTGCCACACGAATGACAAAGTTCAAAGTAATTCATCTCCTTCATCGATGTTTAGATGATAATTTAGAAGCAACTATCAGTGTTTCCCTCTCGCCTACTCCCACTGTGTTCAACACAACATATCAAGACTGATTGAAAACTCAATAGCTTAGAGTAGATCGCATATTCTGAAGAGAGTGTGTTTGAAGGACTGCCACATATTGACGTTATTAAGTACTTCAAGCAATCTTCTTGGATCTGAACAGCCATCACGAAAGTATTCAGCGACCGCAATATTGTGGAGGACCTGCATTGCACTAATGTTTTTAGCTCAAACCATGGTGATTTAGGCGAGTTATACAAAAAGAACCACTTCTTTATTCAAGAAATTCCATATATAAGCACTAAAAGAAAAGGCAAAGCACGCACAGTTAGGAACAGCCCAAGTGGATAGGAAGTCAGAATTTCAATCAAGACCCAGAAATTAAACCTCAAACCAATAGAAGATACAGCATGCTTACCATGTAGAAGAAAAGCTCACAACAGACCCAATGGATAACTAAACATGCGAATCCAAAACTAGAATTTGTTTACTGATCAAATAAAGTAAACTGTCTAAACTTAGGCATACAGAAAACAAATATGGTGCCATTATCGAGTATACAGTGCAAGAGCTAACCCTTTTGGAAATTTGAACAATGCAAAAGCTAACCCTTTTGCTCGACATGTTCTTTTCAGATAAAAGGGTAAAGAATTTGTTGGTTGTCAGGTTTAATTTCTGATGAAAAACAGTGCAAAAGCTAACCATTTTGTTTCAAAGAGCAAGAGCTAAACTTGACAAAATGAAACTAACTTGCTATTGCCTCTGCCACCTATTACATGATTTTACAGTGTGAACCCAATGTCATCACAAGTTCTCACCAAAATGACAATCGAGAATGCAGCAGCAAAGTGTTAAACTAGAGTTGCTATTTCTGTGTAAAACTCACTGAAAACCTGTTTACCACCAAAAGAGCTTACATTCATCATGGACTCAGCACCAATTTAAAAGGTCAAATACAATCGGCACAGTAAAACATACCTGGTACATCTTTAATCCTGTTTTGTTATTTGAAGCAGGGTTGGCACTTCCAGGCTCCAATAAATCTTCCCCTTTGGCAGCAAAAATCCCACTACCGGTGATTTCTTTCAACTTGTAGGCAGAACAAGACTTCCTAGAAGATTACAAAAGCACTATTCTATGAAGAAGAAGACAAGGAAAAAGCCACAATAAGCGGAGTCCAAGTGCAAAGGCATTATGAAAGCTTATGTAACTCTCTTGACAAGGAGGATATAAAAAGGTCACGTGTGTATGAGAGCGTGCCCACAACCAAACATGCATGCTTGTGCGCCTTTGTGTGGGTGCATGTGCATTTGTGCCAAATATTCATCCCCATTCTATATGTGTACGAAAAAAGATAGATAGATAGCCAAGTAACTGGCTTTTTAGATGGACATGTTTGCGCGTGCATGTATTTGTAATTGTATATGTAATGACTTTTCTGTATGTACATGTTATCCATGGATTGAACCTTTTCCTAATCTAGCAACAAACAATTGTTTCTATTGCAGCACTTTTTAGAAGGATGTTGACGATGCACTATTTGTGACTTACCAATCCTCAGCAAAATGCCATCTCCTTTCCATGAATGGACTAAGAACAACCTACTCTTACATGGACTAGAGCTTTCACATGTCAATAACATATTTCACATACGCAAATTGAAAAGACATAAAAAATAAGTTCACATCAGCTAAGCACCTATTACAATTGTATCTAGATCAGAGTTCGGTAGATTGTCAATGGGATGATCAAATCGGCATTTTCATGACCGCAGAAGTTCAGCAGACATTGAAGGAGCCCCATATGATAGTCGCCAAAGAAATGTTTATGTGGAATTTTTAGATGGAGAGAAATCCTTCTTCTCATTCATATTTACTACCTCTTTACATTGTCATATTTATAGACTAATACACAGAGGAGTCCTAGCAAACAAAATAGGAAACAAAGCCTAAATAGGCGAACAGCTACAATCCCACGATTTGTGGGATTTAACCAGAATAAAAAACCCCTAAATAGGAAAAAATCTACTCCTATCAATCAGTCAATTTTCCTACATATGGATATTTACAGCTTGACACTCCCCCTCAAGCTGGTGAATAGATATCTTCCATTCCCAGCTTGGTAACTAGCTCGTGAAAACTTCCACCATTAAGCCCTTTGGTCAAGACATCTGCCACTTGCTATCCTGAAGGAACATAAGACAAACAAATTAGTCCTTCTTCAAGTTTCTCCTTGATGAAGTGCCTATCGATCTCAATGCGCTTTGTCCTGTCATGCTGCACAGGATTATGAGCATTATTAATTGCAGATTTATTGTCACAATAAAGCTTCATAGGACTTTGCCACTCGACCTTCAAGTCATCAAGAATGATCTTGAGCCACAATAACTCACATATTCCATGAGCTGCTGCCCTAAACTCAGATTCTGCACTAGATCTTGCCACCACATTCTGTTTTTTACTTCTCCAAGTTACCAGGTTACCTCCAAGGAAGGTACAATAACCAGTTGTAGACCTCCTGTCAACCACGGATCCAGCATAATCCGCATTTGTATAAGCCTCAAGCATAAGATCAGGACTCTTCTTGAATAGTACTCCCTTCCCTAGGCTCCCTTTCAAGTAGTGTAGGACTCTATGAGCAACCTGTAGATGTGACTGCTTTGGATTATGCATGAATTGACTAATTAAGCTTACTGCATAGGAGATATTTGGTCGGGTATGAGCAAGGTAGATCAACTTTCCGACCAATCTCTTATACATTTCTCGATCCACTGCTACTTCCTCTTGTGCTTCTGCTAGTCTCTGGTTTGGCTCAATCGGAGTAGTTACTAGTTTGCAACCAAGTTTCCCGGTTTCTTCCAAAAGATCCGTCACATACTTTCGTTGTGAAATAAAGATCCCTTGCCTTGAGTACGAAACCTCAATTCCCAGAAAATACAGTAACTTTCCTAACTCCTTTATTTCAAACTTCTGAATCAAGTACTGTTTCAGCCGCTGTTTCTCCTTTTCATTATTGCCCGTGACTATTATGTCATCAACATACACCAATAATGCTGTAACTCCCCCTGCGTCCGAATGTTTTATAAAGAGTGTATGATCTCCCTGGCTTTGTTTATACCCAGATGCCTTCATGACTCTAGCAAACTGTCCAAACCAAGCTCTAGGTGACTGCTTGAGCCCGTATAGTGCCTTTTTAAGTCTACAAACCTTTTCTGTTGTTTCCTGTCCTTCAAAACCAGGTGGAATGCTCATGTAGATTTCCTCTTCCAAATCTCAATGTAAAAATGCATTCTTTACATCATACTGTTGAAGTTCCCAATCAAAATGAGCAGCTAAGGACAGTAAAATTCTTACGGTATTCATTTTAGCCACGGGTGCAAATGTCTCTTGGTAATCCACTCCATATGTTTGAGTGTAACCTTTTGCAACCAATCTTGCTTTGTACCTCTCTAGAGAGCCATCTGCCTTGTACTTTACAGTGAATACCCACTTGCACCCAACTAGATTTTTCCCTTTTGGCCTATCAACAATTTCCCACGTTTTATTTTTTTTCAGTGCCTTCATCTCTTCTACCATGGCATTCCTCCATTCCTCTTTTGACAATGCTTCAGACAAAGTGTTAGGGACAGCAATAGAGTTTAAACTCACAATAAAGTTTTGGTATAGTGATGATAATCTATTAAGGGACACATAATTTGATAGTGGATATACTGGTTTCTTGGTGCACTCTCTAATCCCTTTTCTAACAGCAATAGGTAAATCAAGATCAGCCTCAGGTGGATCATTAAGCTCTTTATTCAAAGGAGGTTCAGGACATACTGTGTTCTCATTGACAGCACCCGGAGTGGCCTTTTGGACCTGCTCTTGTGTTGGAACGGATGTCCTCCTTGAATACACCGGAGAAAATCTCACAGAATCATGGATACGAGTTGGACTAGTGGGAATAGGAACATAACCAGGTTGAGTTGGACTAGTGGGAATAGGAACAGAATCAGGTTGGTGTGTGGGAGATTGTGGTGGGCAAGAGATAGGATTCAAGGTAGGTTCATGAGCTACAGTGGACGAGTTTGGTTTGACAGGGACATTGGACAGTAAATCCAGGTTATCAATGACACCATGGCCCTTATCTTCCATGACTGAAATCTCCCCTTGAAGATAAGATTGTGAAAAATAGGGTTTATTTTCAACGAAAGTGACATCTGCAGAGAGATAGAATTTTTTGGAAGGGGGATGGTAACATTTATAGCCCTTTTGTGTTTGTGAGTAACCAAGAAACACACATTTGATTGCGCAAGGATCTAACTTTCCTCGTTGATGATGATGAATGTGGACAAAGGAAGTACAACCAAAGACTCGAGGTGTAAGACCATTAGATATACGAAAGTGAGGATAGAACTGAGAAAGAACTTCCATAGGAGTCTTGTGGTCTAATGTACGTGAGGGTAGTCTATTGGTCATGTATGTGGCTGTAAGAACAGCTTCCCCCCAATATGTTTTAGGAACTTGCCCGTGAAACAATAGGGCACGAGTTGTGTTAAGGAGAAGACCATTTTTTCTTTCAGCAACCCCATTTTGTTGGGGTGTATTCACACAAGATGATTCATGGATAATACCTTCCTTTTGAAAATACGAGGACAATACTTGATTGAAGTAATCTCTAGCATTATCAGATCGAAAGACCTTGATCTTAACCCCAAACTGAGTTTGAATCATGGAATGAAAGGAAGGAGTAATGCTACTGACATTGGATTTATGTTTGAGTAAGAAAGTCCACGTGATCCTAGAACAATCATCAATTAAAGTGACAAACCAACGAGCTCCAGAGATGTTTGGAATCGTGGAAGGTCCCCAAATGTCACTATGGATCAAGTCAAAAGGATTAGAACTACGACGATTGCTAATAGGAAATGGTACATGATTATGCTTGGCTAACTCACAAACATCACAATGGAAATCTTTAATATTCAAACCTTTAAACAAGGATGGAAACATAATACTCAAGACTTGAAAGGACGGATGACCAAGACGAAAATGATGAAGCCAAATAGCTTCTTTATTTGAAGTACTAAGAAACGATGAAGATAGTGTATTCATGATTCTTCTTGCAGTGAGAGGTGTCTCAAGGTAATACAGCCCATTTTGTTCCTTAACAAGTCCAATCCTCCTCTCCGAGTCCTGATCTTGAAAAACACAGTAGAATGGGTAAAAAATGACTTGACAATGAAGATCTTTTGTGAGTTTTTGTATGGATATAAGATTGGCAGATAGTTTAGGGACATGAAGAACATCTTTAAGTACAAGATTAGGTGTGATAGAAATATCTCCAACCCCTGCAACAGTCGCAAGAGAACCATTTGCCACAATAATCGTCCGATTGTTAGGACAAGGTGTGTAGGTGCTGAAATGGGATGAGGCGTGAGTCATATGATCGGTAGCCCCCGAATCAACAATCCAAGAATTACCTGAGTGCTAGAGAACATGCACCAGGGGGTTTATTAAGAGTAGAGACCCTAACAAACCTCTTATTTTCTCAATTTCTTCACTATTGAAGGCTGTTTTCTCCTGAACTTCTTCGTGACTAACTTGCTCAGTTAGGTGGACCCGAGGCCTTGACTGTGTTGCCCGATTCACCCATTCTCGGCCTGAAGTAGTTGGTTTGCCATTCAGTTTCCAGCATTGCTCCTTTGTATGTCTCGGTTTCTTGCAATAGGCACACCACAAGTTGTCCCGGTTGTCTTTCCTTGGCAAGTCAACCTTTTTGATTGTCAAGGCTGACCCTTCTACTGTTTGTGGTTCGAGCATGACGGATCGACGACTTTCTTCTACCCGGATCAAGGAAATTGTTTCCTCTAATGATGGCACTTCCTCCTTGCCAAGTATTTGAATTCTGACTTGGTCGAATTCAAAATTAAGCCCGGCTAAGAAATCGTAGACTCGATCCTTTTCAATACGATTCTTCAGAATGGCCGCATCTTCTGGACACCGCATCTGGAGTACTCGATAATGATCGAGTTCTTGCCATAAGTTCTGCAGAGAATGAATACTCAGTAACAGTCTTACCTCCTTGCTTTGTCCCACTAGTTTTCACCTTAATTTTATACACCTGGGCTACATCACGAGCCTTTGAGTACGTCCGTTGCATGGAATCCCAGATCTCTTTTGCTGTTGATAGAAACATACAAGTATTGCTTATGGCTGGTTCCATGGAATTCCATAGCCATGACATGATCATGGAATCAGCCTCATCCCACGCATCAAAATCAGGATCTCCTAGTTTGGGTCCTGTCCCAAGCAGATGGCTGAGTTTTCCTTTGCCCTTCAGATACGTCTTGACAAATTGTGACCACTTGAGATAGTTTTTCTCATTCAAAATGAAGGCTGGTCTGATATTCTGAAGATCACTAGTCATGTGTGTTGAGGCGACCTCCTCCAATGGTTTTTTGGTAGAAGGGGTCGAATCTGTGGTTTTCGGTGTGATTTCGGAATTGGACATTTTTGGAGAGAAAAGGTCAGGAAGAAAACAAGAGTAGTAGTGCAGCTATGAAGGCTGCATTCGAAGGAAAAATTTCCTGGAGAATAAAAGACAGCAATGAAGGCTGTAATTTGGAATCCAGAAATCTAGCCTAGAGCTCTGATACCATGTGGAATTTTTAGATGGAGAGAAATCCTTCTTCTCAGTCATATTTACTACCTCTTTACATTGTCATATTTATGGACTAATACACAGAGGAGTCCTAGCAAACAAAATAGGAAACAAAGCCTAAATAGGAGAACAGCTACAATCCCACGATTTGTGGGATTAAACCAGAATAAAAAAA